CCCGTTTCCCTACCTACAAAATTAGATGGTTGGACAAGATGACTTCTGATGCCCTCTTACTGCTCTGACATATATACTTCATTCAGCAAACACATCCTGAACACCTTCTAAGTGCCCAGCATTGTGCTATATGCTAGAAAAGGATGTGTTCCTACCTTAAGACATTTCAAGGGGGTGAGAGCACAATGTACTCCTTGGTCACAGGAACTCAGGCATTGGGCATGTGTAAGCTGCCGTCTTTCCTCACTCTTACAGGCATGAGGACAGTGGTTCTTTGGAGAAGCAAGACTCTTAATTAAAAGTCCTGCCGTGGCCTGCTCTGACTGATACATGAGTCGCAGAGGGTTGGCTATATGTAAAATACAGAACCCACAGCAAACACATCAGGAGCATTTAGCTGCCACGGGACAGACTGCTAAGTTTGCCTTGAGGTGCTTTTTATACAGTAATGCCATCTCTGTGTAAGAGCTGACTATGGACAAGGTACAATTAGCAAGCTAGATGGTTATCTTTTAAATAGGCCTTTGCTTTCTCATTCTTGATTGCCTTATTTGTTATTGTGTCACTGGAGCCAACAGAACATCCTTAGACCACAGCCTTAGAGTATGGTTCTGTTCCTAAATTGTGGCCTCATCAGCAGTTAAATAAGATCTGTTTAAATACACCCTCATTATCCAAAACCGAAATGAAACCTGGTGCCATCAAGTCGATTCCAACTCATAGCAACCCTACAGGACAGAGCAGAACTGCCTCATAGGGTTTCCAAGGAGCAGCTGGTGGATTCGAACTGCTGACCTTTTGGTTAGCAGCCAAGCCTTTAACCACTGCACCACCAGGGCTCTTCCCATTATCCAGGCCCTTTCAAAACCTGCTTAACAAACTCACGGAACCCCAGTATGGAAAGCTGTAAAAAAGTATGCATTTCCTTCATCGCAATTTAGTGTCAACATGTCATTAGCTCCACTTAAGTAGCAGTTTTGAGAAGTAGCCTGAGGCCAAGCCTCGGCTTAATGGGAAAAAAAACTGATTAGTACTACCTGCTCTGTGGCACAATGGTTAAACTCTGGGCTGCTAACCAAAAGGTTAGCAGATCAAACCCACCAACTGCTCAACACAGAGCTTCTGTAAAGATTCATGTCTTGGAAACCCTATGGCACAGTTCTACTCTGTCTTACAGGGTCACTATGAGTTGGAATTGACTTGACAGCAATGGGTTTGGTTTTTGGGGTTTCTTTTCGCCCTGGCCCGGGGAGGGGAAGCATCAATACAACACACATTTGCCTTTCCTCTTCTGAATCTAAGCCCTCACTTCACAGATGAGGAATCCAAGGTCCAGAGAGGTTAAACCACTTTCCTGAGGTCACACAGTAAGTTTAGAGCTGGAGAGAGGACTAGAACCCAGGCCTTCTGTTCCCAAGCCTTCTCTCTGGTGGGTTCCTTGGGAGAGAGCAAATCTAGGATAAAGGGAAGAATGCAGGGAGCCAGATTTGCCCCAGTAAATCAACAACCCTTCTCCAGTGGCATCAGATTTCACCTGGGCATACAGACAGAGAAGTGATTAGCAATCTAAAAGTTCTAGCCCTTCTGTGGAAAATAAATCATTCCAAGGCTACATTTCTGTGGTACTTAACTTTCTGATGGGCAAGGCTCTGCCACCAGGAAGACTGAAAAGAAAAGGGGAGAAGAAAAGTATTGATTTCCAGATGTTCTAAGAATAAAGTTCAGCTCTGACACAATGAGAAAAACGCCTAATATTTGAAAATTAAAATCATTTGTATTCCATTATCCCACCAATTTCTATGCCATGGACGCTATTATCCAATGAAGTCATGCCTCACAAAAGCTTATAGCTCAGAGATGGGAAGGGACTGAATCGTATTTCCTAACATGGATTTTTAATAACCAGTTCCCAAGCCTGGAATATGAACCAGACTGTGGAATTAAACCAAGATGTTAAGCACACTGGAGTGAGAAGTGAGAAGGATCCCCAAATTAAAATGAAGATGGCCTCAAGACTGGCTTGTCTTGCTTGGTTCTGCAGCTTTCCGAGAAGTCAGCTATAACACCAGATGAATGCTGAAATTCTAGAAGCATTATGTGTCCTTTATAAATCAGCTGCCCTCCCGAGCTCCAGCGGTACACTCAGGATGAGCTAGCCTGACAGTTACGTAGACTTACCTAGCAATGATAAACATTCTTAATTTGAAACTCTTTATTCTTCAATCCAATGGAAAAATCAAGGCGTTGGAGGACTGCTCAAACAAGCGGTATGCTACCCTCAAAGAAACTTCTCTCAAACCCACAAGGAATGTATTTTTCATTTGGATAAAGTCCTGCCAGGCTTTCCCCCAGAGCCTCTGCAATTATTTCTACCAGAAAGATCAACAAGGTGCTCTGGGATGATTTTCAACAATTACAAGAGTGACAGGCTGGGCTTAGAACTGGTCAGCCCTGTCGAAAGAAGCTCTGTGTGTTCAAGATGCCAGATTTCCCAGATAGCAGCCTGATGTGTTGCATGCACGTTCCAGTACACTGGAATGAGAGATGGAACACCATCTCTCTGAGAAGGCAGCCTCTACCCTCAAGGCCAGCTGACATTCAAACAAGGGACTGGGGGCCAAGCCCAGTGCTCTGCATCTGCAGGAGAGAGAAACAAAAAGGGGCTGTGTGGGAATTTGGCAGGGTGTTGCTGAAAGGCAGCAGATGAATGCTGAATCCTGTAGCACCTAGAAGAGCTTATCATTGGGAAAACAGTTCCATTCTACTGCTCCCGGGAAGCAAAGAGATTTTCCTTAAAGCAAGGAATAACTAGTAGGCAACCCCCACCACTACCACCACCAAACCCCCTCACCACTTTTTCCTCCTTCTCTTCATATGATTCCAGAGGAAAAGAAATAAACAAGAACTAGACCTTCCCAGGTGAGTCTGTCTGTCCATTTCAGTTAGGGGCTCTGAGCAGCACCAGTTGTTCCTCTCCTGTCTGCCCAAAAGGCTGCCTTCCTCCATCAATCCCCTCTTGCACAAGTGAGTAACTTACTTTGAAAGCTCAGGCCAAACTGGCAGTTAACCTTGACCTTCCCTCTACACATCTGGGTCTACAGAAAATGAAAATCAGAAAGTCTCTGGCATCCACAGCAAATGAAATACGAGGGCTTTCTCCAGGCAGAGGCAGAATGTCAGGAGCTATTTTAAAACTGGCTACAGCTCTTCTGAAGAAAAATATGCACTTGGTAGGACATGCCCCTCCTGGACCTGCGGCTGTGTCCAGTGTGGAGCCCCCACAAGTAGGGATGGTAAAAGGGAGACCTGCCCAGGAAAGAATAGAGAAGTGGCCATTCTACTCCTCACCAATTCAATGATGATATCACAGATTGCTGAAGCTGGACCAATACCCACATTTCACACATGGAGAAAGAGAGGCTCAAAGAGAGAGATGGGAAGTAGTCAAGGACACATATAGCAAGTTAATGGACAGCTGGGGCTAGAACCCTAGCCTCTTGCCCCTGATGGTGGTATAGCGTGAGGACAGAGGAAAAAAGAGGAAAGAGATTTCATGAAGGAAAAACCCATGTGAATACAGAATTTAACAGAGAGAGGTCTAAGCTGACTGTCAGGGTTTGAACCAGGGGGTTAGGAAAGGACTTGAGGCCCTTAGTTTCCAAACAGTAAGATCTACCAGAAACATCAGCGAGGCACTCTGGGATGATTTGCACTTAAAACTGGTCATTTCTGTCGCAAAGAGCCGTCTATGCTCAAGATGCCAGAGTGCCTAGACAAGCAGCCTGATAGGAAGAAAAGAGGAAAAGAAAACCATCAACCTCAAAAAGTCAGCCTCTTCCTTGAGACCAGCTAACAATCAGTCAAGTCTGATTCTGATCCACAAATGATCTACTTCCCATGGGACCTGGGAAATCCCATAAGAAAACCTGGAATGTCGCACTGTATGAAACAGTTCAAGCATGCATATGCTCACTGGCACCTACCATGTGCCAGGCCTGAGACAGAAGCTGAGAGGGTGGGAGTGATCTGACACGGCTTCTGCTCTCAGGGAGCTGCTAGTTTAAAGGCATGCACACAAAAAACCAAACATGGGTAAGTTCAGAGGAGGCAGAAACAATTAAGATCTCAGTTTTGGCTGCAAGAAACACCACACCTAATCAGACTGGACAAGTTCAGAAGGGGTCATGGGTACTTGGAGAAGGCCTGGGAAGGAATGTGGTGTTTCAATCTCAGGACACTGGGCACTAGTAGTAGCCTCTAGGAAAATCTGGGGGTCCCTCCACCAGATCCTCCACCTTCCGAACTCCCAAAAAGTCAAAGGCAGCAACCTCCTCAAGGATCAAGAGCTCAACGCCCTTCCCAGCCCCTGGGGGGCCTGAAGCTCCAAGGCGAGCATAATCTTTACATCCTTCCAAGGAATGGACAAGATCTTAGGAAAGAATAAGGCTAGGGGTGGGGAGTAAGCAAATGGCGAGAAGAGGACCCAGGTGTCTCACTGAGCAGGTGGGAAACCAGAAAAGGGGCTGACCTGAGTAGAGAACACCTGGATCACCAGGTTGGGGGTGGGGGGGAAGGCTTGCTGTGCAGGGCTTGCTGTGCTGAGAAGACCTGGGCACATAATAGAAGGGTCGCCATCTCCATTCCTATTGGCAGAAGAAGTCATCCTGGGACTACAAGGAGCAACCAAAAAAGATGTTGGAAGAGGTGCGGGGATATCAGACAGGGACAGAAAGGAGGATGGCAACGTACAGTAAGAGAAAGAACTCTGGACTGGGCACCAGGAGCTCTGGGTTCTAGTTCCGGCTCTGTCTCTGACTGGCGTGGGACCTTGTTCTTTGAGCCTCAATTTTCCCATCTGGAAAATGGGAAAGGCAAAAGAGTCTCAGGCGCTCACTCTGAGGAGGCAGACAGAGGAAGATGGAAGAAGGAACTGCAGCAAGAGGTGAATTCGGAGAAGTGTTACCAACCCCGCTGGTTTCCATGGCAACTGGGGAACTCACCTGTTCCGCCGCCCGGGCCACGGCCGCCCCCGCTGCTCCTGGGGTGCCGTCCGGTTGCCGCTCGCGGTACAGCACCCAGAGCCCCACGTTGGGCAGGAGGACCAGGGCAGCCAGCACGAGCGCCACCGCCTGCAGGAGCCGCTTCTCCTTCCGCCTCATCGGGGCCGGTCAGCCCCACAGCGCCCCGCCGGCCCCACCGCGCCGCCCCCAGCTCCGAGCGTCCGCCCGCCCACCCCGCGGCGCCAGCAGCTCGGCAAGAAGTGGCCGCAGCGCCGTCCGCACTCCAACTCCGCGGCACTTCCGCCGCTCGCAGGCCAGGGAGCCGGGCGCCGCCACCGCGCCGCCGCCGTGGGGGGAGAGGAGGGGTCGCCGCCGCCGCCAGCGCTGGCTTCGGGCCCCGCGGCGCCCCGAACCAAGGCCACTCTCCTTCAGAGCAGCCACCGCGCACGGCTGGCCGTCGGCCTAGGCCTTCTCGAGGCGTGTTTTGGTCGGCCCGGGCACGACAGAGTCCGGGACTGGCCGGCTACCCCCTCTCGAGCCGCGATGGTGTGGCCCGCTCCTCGGCTCCTCCCCCGCCCGCAGGAGCTTTGCGAAAGTCCCGGAGTTGGGGAGTTGGGCGCATACTGGTGGCCGCTGCGCACCAGCGGGCGGGGTGCGTCTTCGCGCCCTATGTCGCACCCGGGGCCCCCAGCGCTCAGCCTGGAAACTCTGCTCCGGGCTCCAGCCGAGAGTTTGAGAGCTGCTTGGGGATATGCAGGTATGCTGGAGCCCGGCCGCAAGCTCTGCGCCTGCAGCCCCCGGGGCTGTCGCTTCCCACCTCGTCTTGGCTTGGCTACAGTGAACTGCGAACTTACTCTGACCCCGGGGGACTCTGTGTTCCCGGCGGTGAAATGGGGCCACAACTGCGCTCCACGCGCACTGTTCTGCGGGAGGGCCCAGGCTTTCTTGCTCTCCGAGGCCCCTGGCGTTATGTATGAACGCCCTCTGTAAACTGTCGAGTACAGTGCCCGCCTGCCACCTGTCTGCTGTCCCTGCAAACCGGCAGGGAAGTGACCAGAGCCTCTCTGCAGGACCTTTTTTCATGCAAGTCCAACCTCCGTGGAGTTGGAATGCCTTCTAGTCCCATATGTGTTTCTAGGCGCTCAGCGCAAGAAGCCTTTTCCCAAATCCTCTTGTCCGTTTCTATCTCTAATTCAGTCATTCAGCAAACGATTAGTGAACGCCTACTGTGTGCCTGACACTGCCAGGCACCGGGATGAAGTGAAAACAGACTCTAAAGCCTGATGTCTGGGAATTGACACGTTAAATATGTAATCCCACTAGAAGAGGGAATGGGGTAAGGTCTATGAAGGGGAAGTTGGACCTCCCAGGCACTGCGAAGGGCCAGGGGCCAGACGCCAGACTCCTCCTCCGGGAGCTCACCGCTCTTCCGTTAACTGCGTCCTCCTTGGCGTGGTGGAATAAGACAGCGCTCTTCACTGCCTTCCTCTCTGCTTCTCCGAACCAGCCGCTAACCCCTGTGCCTACCGACCCGCCATCCCTGGACTCGCGTGTTTACAACTCTTGCCTCCCAATTCTTCCAGCTCTAGGCTGAGCATAGGGGTTCAGTTTTCTGAAATTACAGCTCGAATCTTGATACCTGCTATAAAACCTTCAAGGCTTCCGTCACCTCGGCTCTAGAGTTCGCACTCCTGGGGCTGACCCACTAGGGTTGTTCAAACCTTCTCCCCACCACCACCCCGCCCCCTCTCCCCCCGCACTGTTTGCCCCACTCACACCCTGTGCTTCAGTCAGCCCCGTTGCTGGCTTTGTGTTTTTCTTCATGTGTATTGATCATGCAGTTTCCCTCTCCTCTTCCCCATCTCTGTTGGTGGAAATTTTGTTCATCTTTCCATGTCCAGGAGGACTACCGCCTCCTCCAAGAAGTCCTCCAAGACTCCTCCTCAGGGAGTTGCTACCTTTCCTCGGATTTCTGTCATAGTAATGCTTACCTTTTAGTGAATGTTTACTCTGTGCCAGGCACCATGTTAAACTTGTATTATCTCTTTTAATTCTTCCAGTTACCCTGTGAGGTAGGTGCTTTTCTTATCCCCATTTGCAAATGAGACTCAGATTAAGGAATGTGGTAGCCAGAATGATCCTGTTTTAGCAAGGATCAGATCACATCACCCCTCTGCTCAGATACCCACAGTGGCTTTCCACATCCCATTGAGTTCCTACAAAAAACTACAAGGCCATATGATTCACCCTCATCCCTTATCCTTTCCTCACTCATTGTGCTCCAGCCACATTGGCCTCCTTGTTGTCCCTCAGAACACTCCAGGTGCATTCCTGCCTCAGGGCCTTTGCACTTGTTTTTGCCATTGCCTGCTCTTCTATCCCTAGATCCTTGGCCTATGTTGTGGTGTGATTGATTACATTTATGTGGCCTTTCTAGCCATGATCTTGTAACTCCCACCCAGGTGATTGGGCAGGACTGTGTGACAGGATAATTGTAGCCCACCAAAGGGACTGGTCAGTTTTGCCATCCTGTTAGGCTTGAAATGAGCCACCCTAAAGAAGGGAAAGAGGAGAGCCCACCACCACCAAGGAAGGAGAGACTGGCAGGAGAGACCCACAGGGGACAGCGCACTGGGCTGAGTGCCTTTGGGCAGAGGCCAAGGGCCTGGGAGAGGCGTGCATGCAAGCATGACTAGGAAGAAACTGTCCTGATGGAAGAACTGTATCCTTGCGTGTTCCTGAGCCTGAATTTTAACTTCCCTAATAAGCCCCATGATCAGGAGTATGAGTTCTGTGTGGCCATTACAATGAATTATTGAACGCAGTAGAGAGTGCTGTGGGAGGGACGATTGGTGTCAGAATTGGTAAAGGTGGCTGAGAGAAGAGGCTTGTCTGGCCTCCACCTCATAGGAGTCAGCCTTGTGGTGTTCTTGGTTCTCCTTCCCGCTTGTGGGGTTAGAGTAGGTCAGACACCACCCCCAAGCCGTTTTTACATATATCTTTTATATTGATGTTGATACACAGTATTTATGTAGTTGAATGTTCATCCTGTGCTTGACAAAAGGAAATTGGAAATTCCTACAGAAGACAGTGTTGCAAAATTCTTTAATATTTCGACAGCACTTAGCACATGGCTGGACATATAGCAGGAAAAGTGATCCTTTTACACACGTAAGGCCCACTCTGCTCCTAAGAACGCAGCTATGGCTTCCCTTCACATTAGAAAAATCTATGAGAATCCTTACAACAGCCCATGAGGTCCTACATGATCTGACCCTACTTCTACTTTTGCCCTCTCTCCTTCCCTTCCAGTTACACTAGTCTCCATGCTATATTACTCAAATGCACCAAGTTGCTTATCGCCTCAGGGTCTTTGCAAATTTGCTGTGTGTGCCCTGGCCTAGAACATTCTTCCTTGACACATTTGCATGGCGCCATCTCTCTCTCCTCTCAGGAGCCCAATCAAATGTCTTGCCTCAGAGAGATCTTCCCTGATCAACTGATCTAAAATATGAAATGGCGTCCCCATTATCCCTATTTGCTTGATTTTTATTCAGAGCAGGAATTATTTTTGGTCTTCCCTTCTGGATGTTAGCTCCACGCAAGCAAGAACTTTACATATATTTTTTGCCCTTTATAGTATCCCCTGCCAGGGCCTCTGCTAGCACATACTTTCCCTTTTTTGACAGTTAGAAAACCAGTGCTCCTTCCAGGCAGAGAAATTTGCAGAAACGTCCCCCTTTGGAGGCAGACTTTTTAGAAAAAGTTACCTCCAGTTTGAGTTCATACTTCCACTAAACCACATGAAGCAAAGCTGTGACCTTTACCAGCCTGGCACACAGTAGGTACTCAATAATTAATGGTTGAGTGAAGTATAGCAGCTGAGGCCATGTCTGGGAAAATCTTCAGTGTCTCTCTTATCCCCACTCCCACTTCCAGCTCCCTAGAAGATTCTGTGCAAAATTGGATTTGAGCTTTTTCTCTTCTTACTAGAGTCACTTGATCAAAGTTGCACATAGGCCTGGTCTGCCCCCAGTGGGCTCTAGCGCAGGAACCCAGCTTTAGTCCCAGGATTCTTTGATCACTTCTACAATGTGGGATGTACCCGGCAGTGGGAGGGCTCCTAAGACTTTATCTTACTCATTAAGACAATACCATTTGAGACAAATGGACAGCCCATTAGCTCTGGCTGGTTTTATGAGAAAACTGATCTGGTCATCGACTGAAATTGAACAAGAAATGTTACTTTCAGACTGAGCCCTGCTAGGCCTACTGTGGGCATTAAATGAGATAATGCATATAAGGGTTTACCACAGAGCCTGTTCTAACGTAAGTGCTGAGTCACCATGGGCAAAATAAAAGCCCAACAGGAAGACTGTGGAGGGATGAACAGGATTTCAGCTGCCTAGCAAAAACGCTCTGCTCTGGCCTGTGCCACTCTGATCTCATCTCTCACTCTCCTTTCAGGTCCTTGAATGCACTATACTCATTCCAGCCTCAAGGCATTTGCATTAGCCATTGCCTCTGCCAGAACTCTGTTCCCTCAGATCCTCCCCCGTTGCTGACTCCTCCTCATCCTTCAGGTCTCAGCTCAAACATCATTTCTAATATTCAAAATATACTTTACAACTTCTACAACTGGAGGACAAAAAGACAACCCAATCAAAAAGTGGGCAAAGGAATTGAACAGACAGTTCACCAAAGATGATATCCAAATGGCCAACATGCATATGAAAAGCTGCTCAACATCATTAGCCATTAAAGAGATGCAAATCAAAACCACAATGAGATACCACCTCATTGTGTTGGTGTTGGTGAGGTTGTGGAGAAACTAGAACCCTCATCCATTGCTGGTGGGAATGTAAAATGGTACAGCCACTGTGGAAAAAAGTTTGGTGGTTCCTCAAAAAGTCGAACATAGAACTACCATATGACCCAGCAATCCTAATCCTAGGTATATACCTAGAAGAAGTGAAGGAAGGAACACAAACAGAAACCTGTACATCAATGTTCATTGCCCCACTTTTCACAGTAGCAAAAATCTGGAAACAACTTAATGCCCATCCAGAGATGAATAGATAAAATGTGGTACATACATACAATGGAATACTACTCAGCCATAAGGCGTAATGAAGCCATGATGGTTGCCACAACATGGATAAGCCTTGAAAACGTTA